TCTATAGTAATCTCATGTCGGAGAGAATATTTCAAGTGCAAAAGTGTGTTATACCAGAGTACAACAGTAATAATATACATATTGAAAAAGACTTACATAATTTGTTGGTGTCGCAAGCTTTTCATTTTAATTATTTTCGAACTCAAGACTTTATTGATTCTGCTCTCAAAAAATTTATAACAGAGTTAAGTAATGTGTGCTACAAGCATATACGTGGCTTACAATTACTGATGATTGCATATGTTCGTACGGCTTAGAAATATTATTCCGAATGTGTCCAATTATCAAACACTTTTGTGTTTTCAATCGATTAGAAAATTGCTTAACATTATCAGCCCGACACTATTAGGTCGTGACTGAAGGAGATTGTCGTATAATACCAGATAACGCTGTTGGAAGCATTGTATAAAAATTGTGATAAATATTGAGAAATGTGATAAAAATTTGTCAGGAGAATAATTTTAAATCAAATCGGTTGACGATTGCATTGAAAGACGATTACAAACATATTTGTCATGTCTTCTAAAAGGTTGCCATTACAAAGTAAAGACGTAAGTCCTCGCAATAACTATAATGCCTTTAAGCGACTAATACGTGAAGACGAGAAACGAGCTTACATTGACTAGATTAGATGATTTCGAGCCCACATGCCAAAAACGATTCCGATTTTCAAGTACTTACAAAGGGATAGAGGAACGAATTGTTAGTAAAAATTCATCTTTGTATTCTCTGCCTAGGAATGCGTTTAACACGCAGAACCAAAAAAGGAACAAATATTAACTTTAAATATTTGCCAAAAAATGAAGAAAAAAAAACGGCTTTGACCTAAATTAACATTTGCAAAGCTTCTCATTAATATGCTTGTAAACATTGATCCAGATTAGAGCCAACAACCATGTGTACATTTACAGATTAATGTTAAACTACAAACGCGACATGCCGGACTTACTACTCATTACAATTTATATATAGATATTTATATGCATACATTGCCCATTATATATGAAAACATGTATACTTCCATATGTATGGCGAATTTCAACTCGTTTTTAGAATACATTACTTGTTTTCATGTTCAAAAGTTCGGTAGTCTTAGTGTTAAAGAACAAGAAAAAAACAAGTGGCCCGCTATAGTATATTTACCTGCTTTTAAAGTTAAAAGATAAAAAATGTCATATTGACCCATGCGATAGTTCTAGCCTTAAAGAAAACAAACAAAACCAAAAAAGAATTTCTTTTTGAGATACAAGAAAAAATTATAAATCGAACAGTCGAACAATACCTCTCTAATACTACTATATACCAATCAGTGCTTGCTTTTGTTGTCAAAATTTTTTTTTTTTTTTTTTTTTTTTCCTTATTAACTCTTGCTCTATATGCATGGGTTTAATTTCTGCCCAACTAATGTGTGAACAAAAGCATACATCGCTTATGGATAATTGTTTTTAGATTTTTGTAAACTTTCGCAGGCCCTTTAATTGTGGCCATATCGAGAGCTTTAATGAGATTATGTATTACCGAAAACACATGTGAGTTGTCATGAATCTACATACCGCACCATAACACAGCAAGATACAATCAAATTGTTTTCATTAATTTATTTTTTTTTTTTTTTGTTTGACGTTGATTTGTACTTTATTGCCCATTAAAATGATAAAATGCCTAAATATGTTAACTTTTATTTTGTTGTTGTGTGTATATTTACGTAAATTATAGTAAGAATAGAAAAATAATTTCGTTAACAAGTTGATATTACTTTGTAGCCCCTCCAAGTAAAAAGAGGGAAAAAAGATTGTAATGATCATTTATTACGCCTCATAATTCGCCTTAAATGTCTATTGTATACGTATAGAACGATTCGTTTTTTTTTTTTTTCTTTTTTTCCAACTATTATTGCATAAGAAAGACAATCAATTGAATGTTTGAGGATAGCCACATGTACAGATAGATGAAAGACTTCGAGTTGTAGTTTCAAAGGCTCTCATTAAGATGTACTGTTATGGACGTAGAGTTCAACATTGAATTTTATAAATTAAAATAAGAAAAGGGACAGACGTTTATAGACTATTTCATTGAAATGTAAAAAATTCCCATTACTTGCAATGCCCGCAAAAGAAAGAGAGACACTTGAATGAAGATAGATTTTTTATAAGAAGAGTGCAAAACGCAAACAAAAAGAAAAAAGAACTGACAACAAATCTTTTTATTTAACAATTGAATTGCTGCAGTGCTCTTACGTAAGATAACAACAACAACAACAACAATAAGAACAACAAAGAAAAACTAACTTGAACGTATAAGAATGAGTAATGGTTGGAACGTACTAATGCCACACAGCGTGATTACAAGGCTAGGTGAGAGTGTTGTTCCTTTTAGTAATTTGAGTAAACGTAACTTGAGAAGGGGAGAAGAGCAAAAAAGGAGAAAAATAAAAAACGTAAAACAGAAATGACAAAAAAATGGGCATAATTTTGTAATATTTTTGCTGAGATTGTTGTAGAGCTAACAACACCGTTAGGAGCTTCTTTTTTTTTTTCTCACATACACCCACAAGAGACTATATGTCACTTTCATGTTATATAAATATATATTTTTTCCGTATATTTATTTTTCTTTTTTTTTTGCAGCAGCAGCAGCAGCAGCAGTAGAAACGAGGATTTTAAATTTGAAAATTATTCATGAGCTGTTGGGCGTATGAAATTAAATTCAGGTTCAATGATTTATATAGCAAAGCAGGACAGAAAAAAAAAGAGGAGGACGTAGAAAGAGAGTAGGTAAAGAATTTTAATTTAAAGTTTGGAATTTTTATAATAGAACATATCAGAGAAGCTCAATCTTTTTGCTCTATATTCATAGGCTATTTCGTAGGATTCGAAAGCCATTAGGACTTATAGGACTTGAAGAAAACATTCGCAACCAAGTGTGAAACGATAAGCCAGGGGGGTGATCATGTAGCTGAAAGTTAACTTTCGCTTCAAACAGCCCATCCCTTTTTGTCAAGCAGCTCAATATGAACGCAGCTGAAATATGGAAGCGAAAGTTAACGTTTTTATACGTAATTATCTTCCAGATTTCTTAAGTATTAGTTTCCCCTCAATATGAGTAAATTTAAGAACAAGAAATTTTTTTTTCATCACTCGGTTGGAAAAGATGAGGAAGAAGAAAAAGTAGGGGGCGCTGAATATCGTTAAATCAATTTCGATAATCAACGGTTTAACTGATAAACTATCATGGCCAAGTTTGCTTTTCCCAAAAATGTGTATAGAGTTTACATAGTTCAAAGCTTCCCGCTTGAAATTAAGAAACAAAACGCATTTGTCAATAATAAATAATAATAAACTCTGCAAGTCACCATGCTGTTGATTTGCTGACTTACAGAAGAAGAAGAAGAGAGGATATCTGATAACGAGTATGTGAACATCTGACCATGAAGTGGAGCGCACTGTGTTTATAACAACCAGAAATAGGCCTAGGCAAGAGAATTGGCAAAGCGACTAGTCTGGTCGTTCTGCAACATTGCCAATCGTAAAAATTGACATAGAACGTTCAACCTTGACGCATGCATATCTTGTGCGAAAACAAGAACTTGCGCTCGAACTGGTGATGAACCCGCGGTAAGCCAGTATTCCAATACAAGACTCGATCTAAAAATTTTGTCAAATACGCAACTGAGCTTTGATTAATTAAAGTAGATTCCGCAAATCTCGCATTGCATAAGCGAACCAATAATTCGCTTTTATCCTCACAATGTTAGCAACTCAGAGATCCACGTGATGATCCCCTGCTGGGCTTAAGTGAGATATCGTAATGCCAGGGATCTTTACAGGAATCCGAGCTCACGCTATTTCATTCTCACTGGAAGTTTTATTGCGAAAGCATCCCTTCGTCGCGCATGACAACGCGAATTGCTTCCACAAAACGCAACTATTATTATGGATTAACGCCTGCAATCCCACCAAATTTTAATTCTCATAATATTGTTAAGCACATGCATCATACCACTGAATAGCTTCCGAGATTGCTATACTGACATCGCTTTCAATATAAAAATCCATATAGTTTTTAAAAAGCGCCAACTTTTTAATTATATAATATAATATATATAATTAATAATCGATCAATAGTTACTGGGCGTAACATGTACAGGTTGTATTTAACAAAATCCTTGGACATAATCACGTAGCTGAAAGTCAGCTTTTGCCTTTATACTTAGCTATTTTCGCCAAACAGTTGGATGCAAAACGGAGAGCTTTATTTTTCTTACATGAGTATCCCCCAGAGTGTAAACATTTAAATGTCGCCTTTCAAAACTAAATGTTATTTCCATCATTTGTCTATTTGAGTTGTAATAGTTTCAGAGTGATGCTACTTTTGCTAGTTTTCACAATAGAAAGTCATTCATTTCTTATGTTGATTAAACATTGCTTTTTAAAGAGGAAAAATGTTAATGCAACTATTCTTTGTCTAAAACTTGTTTGTCGATGGTTTGCTGGAGGTAATCACGTAACTGAAAGTCAGCTTTCACTTTTTCGTGCCTGATTTTAAACGATATTACATATATACACTACGCAGTGAAAGCTTGGAAGGGCAAGAAAACGTAAAAAAAAAAACGATAGAGCGAATCGATAATCGAAAAATATTGTTGACATTGCAAAAATGTTAAATTCAAACTGGTGCGTAATCACGTATGAAAAATGCAGCTTTCGTATTCAGCTATTTGAAAAAACGGCTGAGTACCAAAGTGAAAGGTAGCTTTCAGATACTTGGTTAACCTCTCTGTTCTTGAAAAAAATATCACACTTTCTTACAATGGAATAAAAACACCCTGCCACAAATCGATGGCCACAACCGCGTAACTTAAACTCTCAATGGCCATCCTACCTAACGTATTCTCCAAATGTTCGCCCGAGAAACGTTCGCGGAGGTTTTTAAGAAGTTGTTATAGAGGAATGGCATTTCGATGCCAAAATTAACAAACCATATCGATATTAGCTAAGATTGATTTATGCTCACCTCTATTCGTTATTATGCAAGTTATTGTTAGTTTGTTTACTTTCCTCTTGATAAAAAGCTTGCAAATTAAGGTCAATTGCAACTGATTTCGAATAAAAGAAAAAAAGTGGTAGCAATCAAACAATAAAAATAGAGTAAACATTTTTTCTAAATTTTTTATTGGGAATAATAAAAGTGCGTACTAAGCGTACATATGAAATTGGTTTAAAATGGATTCTTATGATGACTCTACAGAATTTAACTTATCTCGGCCGAAAAGATCGTATAATTTTGACATGTCTATTTTCGATCAGGAATTGTAAATTGGTTTTCTTATAAAATGTTCCTATAATCGTTCAGTATGTTCCATCCTCATTACTATCTAGCAAATTTGGAAACTTCGATGTTCAAGCAACCGAAGACTCGAATTATGACTTGCTTTGTGGTAATATTAGCGCCACTACAGCAGGACAATCATTTTATGATCGCGAAGCTTATCCAAGCAAGGAATGCAATCAAGACAAGAGACCGAGCATATCCGGAGGCAGTATTGATGATTACGACGATGAGCCACCACTGTTAGAAGGTAAATGAAATAAATTAGGAAATTGCATATATATACAAATACTAAGTTGACATGAATGCATTTACAGAGTTGGGAATAAATCCAAATCAGATTTTTCAAAAGGTAAGCTTGTCAGTATTAGTGTATATAGTATATGATTATTTAATATACTTGAATGAGAAATAGACATTAGCCGTTTTAAATCCAATGAGAGCTGTTCATCAGCAAATACTGCAAGATACTGATATGGCTGGGCCACTAGTTTTTTGCCTTGCTTTAGGAGGTTTCCTATTGCTAGTAAGTTCATCGATTTATTGATATTGATATTGATTACATATATAAATGCCTTTTTCTTTGCAGAACGGCAAGGTTACGTTTTCTTACATTTACGGTATTGGGCTCATGGGCTGTATTGGCTTTTACATCTTGCTATCTCTAATGGCATCAAATTCGAAAGTAACATTTGGTGCTGTGGTATCTGTGCTGGGTTATTGCTTACTACCAATGGTCCTTTTGGCCGGAATTAACGTCCTCCTTACCATACAGTACGTATAGTAATAAATTATTAATGTTCCAGTTATACTTTCTAAATACCGACCAGAGGTAGTACGGTCAGTCTTGGAACTACTGGGGTTTTCATAGCATGGTGCTCATTATCCGCTTCAAAACTTTTCGTTACCGCTTATTCAATGGATAACCAACAAATACTGATCGCTTATCCCTGTGCTTTACTCTATGGAGTTTTTGCTTTAATTATCATATTTTAATAAAATGTTTCGCTCCTTCGTCAAATCAGTTTCGAAAATTAAAAAAAAATTTTTTGATGTTGATAAAAATTACATTTAATTCAATGATACAACACAGTTTAGCGATGATGAATAACTTCAAGAGACCCCTCGATTTTCAAATTCTTTTATATTTAAGGAAAGCCAAACAACAAGGGATTTTGTAATTGTTAAAGGAACCATCGTCTTAACAATACTTTCTAGAATGGGAAAATTTATTTATATGCTGGGGAACTTCCTTTTTACTTCACCCCTTATTAGGCCTCGGAAATTACGCCGGACTAGTGTCAATTTTCTATCCACTTCTTTTGAAAAGAACTTTTTCTGAATCAAAATCTGCCGTGGAATTATACACAAGATTCTTTGGCTGTTTTAAAGTTAAATTTGATCGCCAGTTTGAGAAATTGCTGTTTCGAAAAGGGGATTTTATTCATCATTTAAGTTAAAAACAAAAGAAAAATTTATTTTCTAAACACTTTACTTTCACTGGTTTCTCGCTCTCGGGAAAAGTTCCTTAAACTTCAAGAAATGGTTCGAGGTACTTTCAAGATTTATAAGCTTGCGCCTTAAATAATATATGCATATCATTATTGTTATTGTTACTGTTAATTTAATCAGAGAAATAAATCCTCAGACTAAGACCTTATCGCAGTGGCATGGAAGGCTATCAGCTCTATTGAAAACTCTACCGTGTAATATAATAATAACAAATTTTTAATACCTAAACTAGAGTTCGCCTTTGTTAATATTTTTATTGACTCAGTTGCATTTGGACACGATCATCTGAGGTATGTATAATGCACAAACTGTGTCCCTTTTCTCTTCTAATAAATTCTTTATTCAGACCCCGCTTACAGCTGCTTAAGCGCGAAGAATAAACCTTTTCACAAAACACAAAAACCAAGGCTTTTTAAAATAGACAGCGATACTAAAATTTTGATTGATTGTCTTCCTTTATATTAAAGTATTTCACAAAATTTTTGTAAGTGACGTAAATACTCTTATTCTAACATTTATAGGAAGACACGTTAGAAGTGCTAGACAAATTCTGGGTAGTGTTTATGTAACGGACGTACCATAGGGACAAATTTAGGATCATAGATAAATGGTAAAAGTTGCTTAAAAATCCGACCTGCGGTTTAAGCTAGTTTCCTATATAAACTATACTAAACTTGACCAGCCTAACGAGAGAAAAGTTTCGAAAAGTTAGATTAATAAATACTTTTTTTTAAAGAAAAAATTTTTTTTTTATATTTTTACAGAATTATGGGCAACAGTTTCAGCTTGACTGCTATATAGATATTAAAATATTCTCTCATAGTTACATAATATAAAGTTTGTTTAGAATAAAAGCCAGAGGCTCTTTTCGTTGTCTGACTGCAGCAAGTCCACTATATTGGTGTATTTTTATATTTTTTTACTTAAGCTCATTAAAATTTTGATTGGGTCAAATACAACGAAGAAATAAAAAAAAAAAAAAAAAAAAAAAAAAAAAAAAATGCATAGTTTTGCCTCAAATAAAACCGATATTACCAGTAAAGAATTGATGTTATTAAAATGCTAATAAACTTATTTGGTAATCCACCACAGGATTATATTGAAAAAAAAGAAGAAAAATAAATAAATAAATAAGAAGGAAGATGGGTGAAATGTAGAACCTTTTAATATACTAAAGTTAAGGCTCGCCTGACGGTGCCATATTTCAACGTATAATGCTATAACAATTGCTAATAAAAAGTCGTTTATGTTATTACGTTATGCTGATTTGCGAAAATTTATTCCTTTGCAAAATATTGTTTGCAAAAGGAATTAAATTTGTCATAGAAATGTAAAATTTTGCTATATTTGAAAAGTTTTAGAAAAAAAAAGAAAACTCTCTTCGTTTATCAATTGAAAATTTCTCTTTTCATCTTCTTATATAATATTGAGGAAAATGCTGCAAAAGACAATATTTTGTAGGTACTTTGAAAGGGGGAAAAATGTCCCATCATACTTTTATATGGCGTATCATAGAGAAAAAGCAAACGAACATTGCTGCCTTTGGTTTAAATTAGGAAGAATAATTGGAAATAGTGAAAAACGAAAATTGGATAACTGATAGAACAAAATAGACGAAAGCAAGTAAAAACACTGTAGTGGGCCACGGCTCACTATTAAATATACTACAACATCTCACAGTTATATGTGGGAAATGATGGAAAAAATGGTCCCATCCGAAACATTTTCAGTTATGCTCGTCCTCAGGTTAACATACCTCAATTTACCAGACATCTCAAAAATTGAAGCCTATGGGTTGAACACTCATATGGAAAGACGAGTTTGGATCGTTTTAGAATCATTCTCTGTGGGTAGGTGATGGATAAACATCAGACAGAAAACATTTAGAAGCTGGATGTATCTGAAAACCTTTTGGCCGTTGCTTACATCCAGACAAACATAATATGCTTTTGTACGACAAATGGTGGAAGGCACAAAAAGGTGACCATTTCAAAAAAATGACACCAAAATTAAAGGTAAAGTGAAGCGTAGAACCGATCTAAAGCCGCGACCCGATTGAGAATCATCCACTTTTGTCATAAAATATCCAACAGTAGACTTTGTACCTTATGAAGACTTAATTGTCAACGAAGTCGTGCACACCGCTCGCTCTACTTGTAGCGTCTTTTCAAAGAGATTTAGCATATATTTAACCGATGGTGGGCGCATTTCAATGGCTGGTGTTGGGAGTAAAAATGTAAACTATCTCGCCGAGGCCATGCATGAAGTTTCTAAACAACTTTGGTTTAATAAAACGAACGTTTCGAACAATTTTAGCTAAACGCGGTTAGGAAATGAAATATATTTCCGCAAAATAATGTTTTCACATTTCTTATTTATCCACAAATTATAATTTAAGCATAATGGTTCTATTGTAAATGACAATCAAGTGTCGAAAATATCAGGAGTTTGTTATGCAATTAATAGAAGTAAAGAAGAAGAAGAAAAGTATTCTTTGAAGTCGTATGTTCATTGTCAATTTTTTTGTAAAAAATGGCGCCAATTTTCTGTCTAAACGGCCAATCCGTTAAAAAACCTCCAAAAAATCTGTTAAAATATCAGAGTAAATCAAAACAAGAAGAAGAAAAAGGTAGGTTAAAAAGCACGGTGTTAATTAAATCCTATTTAATTATCAAATAATCGGCTTAGTCCATCTCTGTTCAACATACCAAAAAAAAAGAAAAAAAAATTATCAAATAATCCAAAAAGTCGAAATTTTCGCTTCACGAAACGTAGGTCTATATGTATATAGAGCGTGCTGACGTTTTCACAGTAGCTTGTGCTAATAAAGATGCACGGCATTTCGTTAAAAGATGCGAAGCTTATGGTTAGCCGGACCATAAGGAGTGAGCACTATGCTAAAGAAAAATGAGGACTGTAAATATTAGGAGTTCAACAAATATTAAGCAATCTTTTGATAAGTGGCAACCTAAATATTAAAATGGAATAATTAGTAGTCGCATGCCTTAGTGGTAAATCTCCTCAACTTTGCCCGCGAATCTAAAAACAAGACTTGCCCCCTAATATCCTTACCTGTGAAGATAAAACGCATTCGAGAAATGAAAGAGTTTTGAGAGTTGACTAAAATTTTATGTATATAGAAGTAATGAAACCTTAAGCTCATTAAATCGCGCTTTAGTGACATGCAGAGAACTTCCGTATGATTGGTTTCTTAGATTATTTGGTTTCATTCAGCTCGCACATCTTGCCCAACTCACTGTCGCATCCTGAATTTTGCTTAAAAATCCAAAAATCGTGACGCAAAGGAAATCTTTGAAAAAAGATTGTTGCTGATATTCTCTGGCTGTCAGCTATTTTCTCTAAATTTTCTAAAACCTGGAGCAGTGTTTTTTAACTACGGTTAGCAGTCTTACTTCCTTTGTGGCCTAAGACTAATTGCAAATGCGTGGCGGAGGAAGGCAAAATGCTCACAACATATTCGCTTTATACACGTCATTGAAAAAACTGAAAGGCTTGGCTCAAATCTATCCCAGGTTACAATTCACATCTCATGAATCATATTTTTTCCTAAACGCAGATTTCTTTTTCGATGCACCCTCTTTATTGCAAATGTTAGCCAAACCAGTTTAGAAAAGGAATGTTTGAAAAGCTATTGTTCCATATAGAATGATGCTTTTAATACTTTGCCTACGCAAACGTCCGTTTTGCTTTTTCATTAGTCTAAAAATCTTCAAACGCACAATTTTAAATGAATTACTTTGTGAAAAAATTAATTAAGGCCAACCATTTCACTTTCACTTCGTAGTAAAGAAAGCAACATATTTTATAATTTCAGTGCTGTTTTTTTCCAATACGTAAAGAAGGACAATTAAAAACCTTATATAGATGAAAGGGAAGAGAATTTCGTAAAGGAGGTGTTTCATTCGTGGCTGGCTGAAATTTTTTGCCTACTTTCTTCTCACATATTCCGTTTGTTATGTCAATCAATGTATGAATAAATATCAATATAATCAATATATGCTTTATGGCAAAATAGAAAATCAATAAATCAAACTAAATTTCACAACCTGGCTACCAGTGATTTTAAATATCGTATAATTATAGATGCAAATATCGTAGATATGCTGATTTGTTTTTGTACTTATTTCCAGGCTGATATTTTCTATTTAGTTATACTTTACTTAAATAATTCATTTCATTTAATTTTTAATTTTCATATGTGTATATATTTATCTAATTTTTACTTGTTTAAAAATAACAGTCTCGAAAGCAAAGACTTCAACTTCTGAAAAAGTTATCTTCCTAGTACACGTGATGAAATGTATGAAAACGATAAACAATAAATTTGCAAATATCGAAAAACGGAAAACTAGCAAGAAAGTTCCGTTTGCAACAAGACGAATTCCAAGACGTGTTCGGAATATGTGACTAAAAGATTTACTCAAATAATTATACTATTAAGACTTAGATGCCAAACTTTTATGAACACCTTAGTAACCTGAAACTAAGAAAAATTATATCAATTTTTCTGTCTGACCAAACACAATTTAACACAATAGAAGTACGTATTCAATTCGTGTCTTTGTCGCTTTGCTGCATAATATGGGCTTTGTAGACTTTTTCATTGATGTTCTATCATTGTAATGACAAATTATTACGCCCCTATAAT